CATGAGCACATGGTACGTAAAGAAGTATATTCCCGGTATGGAGCAGGTAAATTTGCCCGTGGTCGGGTCGTAATGATTCCCGAGATTCGTGACCACGTCGTCAAACTTCAACAGCTCGTAGCCCTCGTGCTGCTTTTTGAGCCCTGCGTAAAAGGCGATTTTGGGCACGGTGCTGTAGGTGGCCGCGCTAATGGCACCCGTTGCCATGTTTGGTCCCGGCTGCCCGGGTAATCCAGGTCGTCCCGGTTCCCCCTTCTCTCCGGGAGGTCCAGGGGGCCCGGGTTCACCGGGAGGGCCCCTCGGCCCCACTTTCCCCGGGCGTCCCGGTTCACCTTTCGGACCTTGTATAAAAGTTGGTAAAGACTGCATAAGGTTGCTGTCCCGGACAGGGTCTGCGGAGACCGTGCTGGTCGGGGATTTAGTACCGTAAGAATCGCAAACCATCCTGCAGGTGCCGAGCATCTCGTAGTGCGCGGCGGATGTCCCGGCAGAGCTCACCAAAACCGGGATCAGGATCACCAGCACCAGGACCATGACCACACCGAGCACCCCAGCCGCGATCAGCCGCTTCCTGCCGACGAGTCGCGTCAGCACCGGCCGATCCTCCTGTCTGCTTTTGGGCGAAATTTTGAAGGTTGGTGAGGCACCTCTACAGATGAGAAAAAAAAGTCCGATTGGTTTTGTTAATTAACTTCTGGCTTGGGCCCCAGCAGCTTCTCTTTTTTCTCTCTCTTGTATTCTTCTCTCACTTAACTTCTTTTCTGCTGATGTTGGCTCACTCGCAGCCCTGCTTCAGCATCAGCATCTCTCCGGAAGCGCATCACCATCAGCGTCTCTCCACATGTGGACGCGCAAAGGACAAACTCCACTGATGGACGAGAAAAGCTGCCTGAGATCCTCGAACACAACCTGATATCCTTCCCTCGCTTTTAAAGTCTTTCCTCTGTGCACAAAAGACGGGATGAGCTGGATAAAGTTGGATGTCATGAAGATCTGGAGAACGGAGTCGCTGTGTGAGTGTGAGCGCAGCGCAGGACTCGAGAGAAAGAAGGAGGGAGTGATCCAGCGCTCTTATAACACACCAAAACGCAAAATCACACATCAAACATCTACACAGGACAGACACAGACGAAAGAAAAAAAAAAATTTAAACGCAAATCTAGACTGATCAACACACTTGAAATATAACGGGGCATGTTGTCGCACTCTGTGGGGAACCTGGTGTTCATTAACATTGATTTGAGATCAGTATATATTTTTTAAAATATGAAATAGGCCCACTTTCTGAAGTAAAACAAATCCATTAAATCTATTTCAAAATACTTATTTGAAACTATTACTTATCTATCTATCTATCATTTGGAAGTATACATTGTATATTATTGTATATACAATAATAAATTGTGAATTATATTATTAATTATTATACTAATATAAATATAAAAAAATATTACAAACTATTTTTCAGATTTTAAACAATATTTATGTTTATACCGTATATTTAAACAAACATTACTGTTAAATACATAAATACTGTTTTGGGTAATATAATTTACATATGTTATTTACTTATGTACATATTTGTATGCATGTATATATAATACACACAGACACACACACACACATTTTATGCTCTGTCAAATATTTTGAGTGAATTTTAGTTTGGACAGCTTTTAAAGCATTTGGACTTTTGAATATTTTTATATCATTGAAATGTGTTTTGTTTTATAACTTTTAGATGTGCAACCCAAACTTTTGGATTCGTACAGTCCCCTTTTTAGTCAGCTTGATGTTCTAGGTCACTGCACAGTGAAAAATTAAGCTATTGGAAATGTTTATTCACGTATCCCTGAGAATGAGCTTTGAAGGTAACGGCGCAACCACTAAACGACACGTATGCCAATAGTATAGACCTGCCAGTGATGCACTGCCACTACAGGATGCAAGAACAAATCATTCATTTAACTCCAATCTGGGAATCGACCACCTTGCAGTTGCACGACTGTCTGCTACTGAACAGTTGAGGTGCACCTCTCAAGATTTCAACAGGTTAGTTAGTTAGCAACCTCCGTTTCGCGTGATTATTGTTTAGATGGACTGGTTGCACCATTGGCACCGAATCTGCTGTATTGTTCCAAGTTTTGACACAGCGAGGTCTTGAACACATCCAATTATCTCCGGACAACACAATGGGCCACTACTGCTTACCCTGAGCGCTTGATGAAAGTCTAGGATCAACAGTGTCTTCGACGATGCCATTTCATTGCTCGGCATGGGACTTGCTCTCCAGAGGAGTTTCCCTCGCCCCATAAATCAAGCAGCAAAAATCAATGACCTCGGTTAGCGAGGGCCGTAATGCCCTTCAGCGTATGAGCTGCATAGAGAGTACGCCAACGAGAAATAATTTTAAACAGGGTGATAAAACAAACTAAACAAACAAAAAAAGTAATCAAGCCAAGCAAAATCGCTACAAGTCTGTATCTCAAGGAAAAGAAAAAGACACTCAAGGATTCCTCTGAAAGGTCAGTGAGTAATTGTCGGCGCATGGTGATCCATTGCCATTCGGACTCATTTTTAACTTCAACGTCCCACTTTCTATCGACGCTGGCAGAAGGATGGGACAAGCTCGGGTCGGGATCTAAATAATCGCTTCTCCGGCTGAAGACGTCCATAATGAATGTCCAACAGTTTGTGGAAAACTTTTACAAACCACACCTCTCATCGTTTGGAATCCAAAGAAAACTTTCGAAAGTGGATGAAGAATTCAAGGGGTCGCGAGACAGTTGAAGAGTGGAAGAGGTTCGGTACGCGGTGTGGACTTTGCCATGGACAGATGTTCCTGCTGAGCGCAAGAGGAAAGTGTATTGGGGCGAACGTGTGCGGGACAGATGTGCCTGCTGGGAGTGTGAACGAGAAGGACAGCGGCGTCTGGATGGGGTAATAATAAAGTGAGCAGAATATTTGCAAAGAGAGACAGGAAATCCCATGCGGCTATCATAGACCTTCTACAAACACAAGCGCACACCCCATCATCATCTGACTCACAGCATTGAAAGGTCAGCTCCTTTACCCCTGATCTCCTGTCACGGAGGTGGTCCGAACCATGACAGGGCCTCCGATGGGAAGATCGTTTTTAGATGTGATGATCCTCTGTAGCGGTTTCAGATCACACCCTGCAAATCTAGCATTCGCTTCAGAACTTTCTAGCAAGGAGCTTCAAACTTTAACTTATCTTCCGAGCACTTAAGACTTCAGATTGTTGGAAATTTCCAAAAATAGAAAATACATGCTTCTAATTTTTAGTCTCCAGTGTCACAGTAAGAACTTTAACACTGTTAGAAAAAAAAAGGATTCAAATACATACTGTTCTTTTGAAAGAGTCCTGGAAAAAATGGTTTACACAAAAGTATTGCGCAGAAAAACGGTTTTCAACTTTGATAATAATAAGAATGATTTCTGAATGATCATGTGACGACTGGAGCAATGGATGCTGAAAATTCAGCTTTGCATCACAGGAATAAATTACATTTTATAATATATTCAAATAGAAAACAGTTATTTTGAATTGTATTATTATTTCAAAATATTACTCTTTTTTACTGTAATTTAAAACAAATAAATGCAGCCTTGGTGAGCATAAGAGATTTCTTTCAAACAATAATTACCAATCTAAACTTTTAAACTGAAGTACACATTTGAGAAGATTTTGCCTTGCCATTCCAAGGTCTTTTCAACTTATCAACTGCTGAAAGAAAAAACTGAATCGTCCAACAAAATGCTGACTTTATTTCAATGTCAAAAATGAAGTACATAGCACAACTGCATTGTGTGCACATGATAAAACATTAAAATATTACAAATATAAATGTAATTGCAACGAAACAGCTTGTGAGTTTTAAAAATAAGGAATAACACATCCATAAAAAAATAAAACTTCAAATTCAGCCAAGCTTTGAAGATTTAGAAGATGTTAGTGTACGCAACCTAAAGCTATAGTGAATGCTATAATGGCAGAAATGACAATTATTGAATGATTTACCGGTTCAAGAAACTGGTTCTTTACAAACACTACTGTATATTGTTCTGTAAAAAGTTGCACCATCATGTTAACTAGAATACACAGTAGGAAACAATGGCCAACCGCTTCAGAGAACACCATTTGTTGCAATATCTTGTTGACCCTCTCAAATGGCCACCGGGGTGTTTCTGTCTGGTATCTGCTGTGTACCATCTGAAACTCCCGTTTGCAGCCATTCATATCTGTCATTAAGAGACAGAGGAAGCAGTCAGCGGTTTCCCCCCGGAGACCTGACACAATCCTGCTCAGACTCCACTAAGACCCCAAAACTCCTGCTAAATCCCTCTACGGTTACAAAATGCTCGTCACCACTTCCCAAAATTCACCGCTCTCCTCGTCTGGATGGTCGATTAGGACAAAACTCCCACCGTTTCTCTAAAGAGACACAACAAACACGTTCAGAAAAGCTGATTATCACCCAATGCAGGTCTGACTTGACAGAAGCGACACTTTGAAGGCAAAAAGTGGCATTGGACAAGAAGGGCACTTGGAAAAAATAGTTGAGGCGTATCAAGAGTGGAGCCATTTGGAGGTTACATGATTAACGTAATACTGAAGCAATATAAAATATATTTTCTAAATAAATGTCAAATGGAAAGGCACATGCAGTGAGGTTCATCTCGGATGGTCGGATCAGCTCTTCGTCGCCCTCTGCTTTACTTGTTCTTGGCCGCCAGCGGCTTGCGGCTGATCTTCTTGGATTTGTCGGCATTCTTTTTGGGCGCCTCTGGGTTGGCCTGCAAGTGTCGCCCGTAAAGGCTGCAAAACACAAACAGACATTGTGTGATCACACCTGGCCGTTTGTTGTTTCTGCAAAAGTCTTGAATACAGAGTAGCGAGGATGAGGAGTTATATTTTTAGTGTTAACCAGCTGAAAGAGGATTAATTGAGTCCAACACACTGATGGGTCCCCCACTGGGACACTGAACTCTCTGTGCTGTCCAACACCCCTCGGCTACAGCTGTGTATGGCACAGAGAGACAATTATCCACAACCACCCTACACACAGAGAGGGAGAGAGAGAGGGAGAGGGGACATGTAAGGAGAGCAATTTCCAGTCCAGTGGTCCCTCTCTATTTCAGCAGCACCCAAAGGCTGGGTTCAGTGATACGAGGGAAAAGACAGAGAGAGAGAGAGAGAGTAAGGAAGAGACTTGAAGTGAACGAGAGTGACCATGTGTATTATGGAGGCAGGATTCATTGGCTCTGTACCAAAACCTTGTGAGCTGCTTTGCGATACACTGCCTACATAAGCAGCACCCTAAAATGAATCAGATTTCGAACACTTTACCAAAGTCTCTCTGGCATCTTGGTTATGTCCCTAGGCAGCTACTTTCTAGGCATACTGTACTTGTTCCCATCAACCTGATTTGAGAAAGGGCGATAAAACAACAATAAAACATTCTGTCCCTCTTACTCAAAAAATAAATAAATAAAAGAAAAAATCAGGCTACAAACTCTATCAAAAAGGCCATTGGCTCCTTTAACTGAAAGGCAGGGCTTCCAGTCCTTAAAGTCAGCATGAACTGGACAT